ATCCCCTGCATGTAGTTCTCAATATAGTTAACTTTTTGATGTCTTCTGACTGGTCACGTGATGAACAGGGTTCTCTTTCTACTATCTTCCTGTCCTCCAATGAGCGTCCCTGCCGTAACAACGCCAGCGCTATACTGTGCATCAATGTATGGAGAGAGTTCTAGGGTGACTCTAGGGTCACAAGGAAGTGTGATGCCAGAAGAACTTGAACATGCAGAAGGAGAATGCTACCCAGACTTTATCAACATTTTAATAATACAATACTATACTGTCAAAAAATTAACATTTTAAAACATGTTTGTGAAGGTTCTCATTTATCCAGGTCGTGGTATAGATGGTAGTGGTAAGTCACATTCAACTGTCATTGTTCTGTAATGTGAAGTCCAGTGGAATGTGACTACTAACTATATCTAGCTATTAGACATGTGCACCGTCAAAAAAAAAATTTTGTTTCGATTTAGCGCTATTTCGTTTTTCGGGATTCGGGTCCGAAGGTCAATTCGTTTTTTGGGATTCAGATTTGTTAGCGGTAGTCTGTACGAATGATCGTTTCTTTGCGTTCCTTCTTTGCAGCAAAGTGACATTTGAGGGGAAAAAAAAACAAAACATTTTTCAGTCTGCTGAAGAGGGGAAAAAAAAAAAAGAAAAGCATGAATGTTGATGGGGACAAGGGCCTCTTTCCCACAACCCTGACTTGGTGGTTGTGGGAGTCTGCGGGCAAGGGGGCTTATTTGCATCGGGGTACCCCTTTAAATAAGGGGGCACCCAGATGCCGCCCCCTCCTTGTGAATGAGTAAGGGGTTCTTGTACCCCTACTCATTCACTAAAGGGTTAAAATTCAAAGTAAATAAACTAACAAATCACACTTTTAGACCAAATCCTTTAAAAAACAAGACAATTTTTGACTATTCCTTTAATTAAAAAACAATTAAAAAAATGGCTCCATCAATGTAATCCAGCGTCCATCACGATGCCCGCCGAAATATAAAAAAGTCCTGCCGCACAACCACCGTCCGAACCCGACGAAAACTCACCACAAAATGGCATCCCCTGCTATTGACATCCTCCTGTGATCTTCCGAATGCCATTCGGGTCTGTGAGCAGAGGTGTCATAATACTTTCCATACGCAACGAACGCACGAAACGAAAACAAAACGACAATTCGTACAGACTACAGCTAACGAATTTCGGAATCGGAAATTCGGATGCGCTTGCATTAGTTACATCTGTAATTCGGAATTTGGATACATCCGAATCTCCGAAATTTCGTCCGAATTTGGATTCTGAACGAAACAAAATGTCTACTAGCTATAGTTCCAGGATAACCAAGATACAGGCATCAAGGAAGCAGTGTGGACTGATGCAGCACAGCAATGCATGGATGAAAAGCTGAGCTATGGAGTCAATAGGCAACACTCCCAGTATGCAGCTCAAGGTTTAATTATATACTCTGACCTAAATGCACCCAGTTCCTTTAATTACCTTTGTAGAGGTCAGACGTCATGGGCTGATTGACGAGCTCTGGTGCACGTTCCAGTAGAATCCTTACAGACTCCAGGTTATCGTGGAGGACAGCAAGATGTAGCGCAGTCTCTCCGACAGCACCTAGTAGAAGGTCCATCATTGTGAGACAATGTGTTAGTGCCTTATAGACATAAAATGCAACAGAGCAGGTTTTATAAACTCTAAGAACTTGATACGCGAGACAAGATGTCCTCATCTTGTCTCGCGTTATGATTATAAATGGGAAACCTGAAATGACCCAGCATAATCTGGAATGGAAAGAAAAACACTTGCAAAGCTGTTCACCCGTTTTTGTAACATATTTGCTGGCTATGCTTTGTTTTTCTCAATTTAATGACCCTTTTCCCCTATTTCAATGTTCTTCACTTCAACCAACCATGAGAGAAATATAGGGGCAGCCACTGATAACTTCCTTCTGAAAAAGGTAGCTGTCTGGCTGTTGTGTTCCTCTGGCTTCCAAATGGTCTGAATAAAACAAGTATGTCAATGAGAAAAGTCAAAGTAAGGCTCATACTTGTTTATGCCTAGTGATTTAAAGCACGATGGGCATTCGAAATAGAGAATTTAGCATTGAAGAATGAGGCAAAATATGGACTTTAGCCTATAAGACTTCACTTTACGCAGTGTACAAAGAAATCCAATTCAAAAGTATTCTTCCACTGGAATCACACCCCTGAGTCTTTACAGATACGCATGTAGCGATAACTCCCCAGCAGGGAGCCGTTGTTTGCCCGGTTCACTTCTACTCGGTCTAGGGCCTCAACTGGTGGGTCATGACCCAAAAGTGGGTTGCGACCCCGTGTCCAGTGAGTCGCCACATGCCTTCCACTTTTCAAGGTGAGAGGATCCTCAGATGGAGAATCCACTCCAGTTTTCGTAATGGCAACCCATACGCACCTCCCACCCACAGTTCACTCACCTGCATCGGAAACCGCAACATGGAACATTGCAGTGCAACATGGGTCGCGACTTAATGACCGAGGACATATGTGGGTCCCGAGGTTACACAGGTTGAGAACCACTGGTCTAGGGTATGATCTTCAGCTGCCGGCCCAATAGCCCTAACCGCCCTTCTTCTGGTGCCCATAAATTGATGTCCACTCCGGTAGTAAAATGCTAAGTAAACAAACAGTTTATTGAACATCTTCTGTGGGAGAGAGGGTATAGGGGTTCTAGGTGTCGAGGGGCAACCATCAGAAGCTCCAGACTCACTGGACCTTGTAAAAGTAGCAATGCAGATCTACCCGACCACATCAGATAACCACTGATGTACCAGACAGTCCAGATGGATGCAGATCCTCAATCACAGGAAAGACACCGACCATGCTCTGAAGTCCGCTTAGTTTTAGGGTACTTCAAGAGCCTGCACTGGTCCCGGTTCTCTTCCTCTTTCAGTCTCTCAGGTCTCCTCCGTGTTGGAGACCTCAGCGAAACCTTTTCCCTCACTCAGCCCATGCCTACCCCCAGGCCTCAGCCTAGCCTGGGGGGGCAGGCTGAACAGGACCCAGCCCTAATCCATGGCTGGTCCCGGCGAGAGAGAGCACATGGCCGCTCCCACCAATATATGTACTCTGTCCCAGAATGCCCCACTGGCTTAGAAAAGCCCAGTGATTGGCTGCTGTACAGTACATACATTACAGTATACACCATTGGCTGCCCCACAATATGACAGTCACACTCCGCCCAGGGGGGTACAGGCAAGGCTAGACATTTGGGATTAACCATATAATCGCCACTACAAATCCAGCCAGGCTGTCTACAGCCCCGGCTATCACTAAATGTATAGTAGTCACATCACAGAAGGTGATAGGCGCTACATGCAAATCAAACATCCTGTGCAAGTCAAACATCTCCAACTGATGTTGGAGATGTCTTAAGCACGTTGGGGCTTATTCCACATATCTATCTGCACCTATCCTAAGATGCAACCATTCTGACATGTTGCTGAGACTCTCTTCAACGACCCTCTTAAAACCACGTTGCCTTTTGGCTCTTCCATTTTCTTGAGGTTCCTACTGTGACCGTAATGGGGTTTGAGTCTGATCATATTAAATATAACACTCTCTTGTCCCCCAGTTCAGAGCAAATGCAGGCCTTCATGTAATCATTTGCAGGTGACTTCACATTCCACAGAACAGAGATCTGTTTATCTGGCCTGTGAGCTTTATTGCCTCTTAGCACTAGCGAGAGTCCCACATCACCTCTAACCTTGTATAGCTGTCCCTAATTAAAGGCATGTCACCAGGCATTCATCTGTGGACAAGTTGATGAACACAAGCAGGTCTGGTAGAGGTAATGACCCAGGTGACCCCATTCACCCGAAAGTCATAAACCTGAGTTACAATATCAGCTCCATTTCATAATTTGGAATTGGGCGGTGATAGTGTAGAACAAAAGGTTCATGCTCCTCCTGCTCTCCCCTTACAGCCCTGCCCTAGGGGCTGGCTCCTTGACACCCCCGAGAGGGCTAACAAAAAGATGCTGCCGAGGCAGCTAGGCAGGCTCTTGTTTTGAAACATCAAGAAAGGAACTCCAGCAACATCAAGAAGTCTTTACATCGCAGAAGAGTTCCCCTTTAATCTCTGGACATCATCTGTTAAAGCTTGCTTGAAGAAGAGCCCTTCAAGCTTCTCTTGCTTACTGAACTCTGACAGAAGTCCTGAAACCAGGACTGTTAAGTATTCAGCTTTTATTCCCTTTTACTTTATTGTTGTATATATATTTTGTCTTTTTTTATTAATACCTTTTTCAGTATAATTTTCTGCACCGTTTCTTTTATTAGAACGTTCTTAAAAATATTTAAGCTTATCTCTACGCTCTAAATACGAACTTAAAGTATCCTTGCCTCCGTGAAGAGCGCTGCTGTATAGTGAAGCCTGTCATATTCCTGCCTGAGAGGACAGCGGTGTCATTGGCTTTGTTTAAGGGTTTTAAATTGCCGCAGCACTTGCTGGGCACGGTTTGTGTTGCCTTTAAAAAACGCATGGTGGTGTAGTGATCAAATAGCGGGAGTGTGTGTATA